AAGGAGTGAGGCTTGTAGAGTTTTCCCCAGTCTGAAAGACACACACACAAACATAAAGCATTTCTGACAGAACAGCTGTGTAAGGCACAGATTACAATACAACGATATTTGTGACCCAGGTGAAAGTTCTAAGCTTACATCACTGCTACCCAGCACACAAAGTATACTAAGTCATGCTCCCAGTACCACACAGGGCGAGGGGCACGAGGACAGGCTGCACAGCTCCCCCCAGGGACCTTCCTGCCCCCAACCACCCCCACAGGCACTGTCTGGCCAAGGCTGGCGTGGCAGGTCATCACCTGTCAGTGACTAACTCCAGCTCCACTTCCCCAAACAGCTCAAGCGTAGACTGACACCTGTAAAGAGCAGTGCATGACCCTTTCCCTCCTCCAGCAGCTTGTTCCCACCCACATACTTCCCACTCCCTAGTCACAGCAGGAACAGCCCCATCAAGGTTCAGCTGTACCATCGATGTGAGGAGGAAGTCAGCCTGGGCTCCTTAAACTAGCAAAACCAACCAACAAAACCCACACAAAAACATCCCCTAATGAAACTTATCAAGCTTCAAACATGCCAGGAGGATAGAGCAGGCACCTAGGACAACTCTGGGTAGCAGTGCCAGCTGAAAGCACTTAGTTATGTCAGTCCCTTCAGGCTGCCTTTATTAACAGTGAGTGAAGAGCCACAGGACACAGAGCAGGAGGTGCCTCCACCTCTCCTGGAGCAGTGTGAGACACTGCCCAGACAGTTTCATATCAATGTCTGGCCAGAGCCACTCTCCTTTCCCACAGGGCTCTGAATGTGTGGGTAACACATCTGGCACTATTCCAGAAAAGTGAAGGGAAAAAAACCAACCCTGTAAAAGAGATAAAGCAGCTGACAAAGGAAAAACTAAGCAGATGTATGCAGGAATACTAGGAATGAACTAACAGTCCTTTTAAGGCTGTACTGCAAAACAAGATTCATTACAGATTGCTCTAAATATTTTGGGGTTGTTTAAGAAACACACTCTTAGCTCTTTCTCTCACTGAGATGAGAAGAATGTATGCCTACTTGATTTTGGAGGCACCAACCAGCCCCAGCAGGGAAGTCTGGCCTGTGACACCAGTCACCACCCTACTGACCTGACGGAGCAGAGGAGTACACTCTTCTTGCTGCAGACAAACAGGGGTGGAGGAAAAAAGGAAAAGGAGAAGAAATGCAGTTGACTTTTCAGCTGTGGGTTACAGGTCAAGCTCAGGAGTTTAACTCACACCCCAGGAATTCCCAGCACCACTGTAAAGCCCAGCCCTGAAGTGCCAGGAGAGGGGAAGCTCCACAAGCAAAACTGCCCCAAGCAAGTTCTGGATGCTAGAGAGGTTTTATAGTCACAACCATCCTCATCCATCTGTACTCCTTGAACCCACAGCCAGCTGGAACCTGCTGCACCAGGCCCAGAGCAGCACTTGATTCCTGCACATCACACTCCCTAAGCCCCACAGGCCACAGAGCCTCCCTGGCACTCTCTGCCATAAACACCATGAGTTACATAAAATACAATGGAGCTTAATTTTAAATAGACATTAGTTCCCCCTCCCCCAAGAAATGAGTCACCTTGGGCTTCACATTAACCTTGTTCTAGGCCAGGACAGTGGAAAGCATTGGTGTCCTTGCAGAACCCATTTGTAATTCCTCATTGTAATTCCAACTGGCATTTGCAGCAAGCCATGGTATCCAGCAGCCACACTTAATACATGTTCTGCTTGGATTTTAATACATTTTAACCAAGCCCATCAGCTGAAAACACCATCCTTTGGAGAAAGGATCACTTGATGGTTACATCCACTGCCGCAAAGGACGAGTCAGTAACAAAACCAACATCCGAGTACATTTACAGGCAGAGTTTGCAAGGGGAAATGCCACTAATCCTTATGATTTGGAAGGAATACCACCCCACACCAAGGAAAC